GTTCGTGATCTGAAACATATGGATGATAATATGAGGGGGACGATAAATTTGCAGATGACATGAAGATTGGCGGGTGATTGACAGTGCGGAAGATGATCTTGGGTTACAGGAGGATATAGAGAAAGGGCAATAGGATACTTGATGAATAACAGTATGCTAGGAAGCTCAAAGGAGCAGAGGAGTTTTGGGGTTCTTGTCCGCAGATCTCTGAAGGACAGATTAAGAGGCTAGCTAAGAAGGCATAAGAGACACTTGCCTTTATCATTTGTGGCATAGATTATAAAAGCAGGGAGCTTATTTGGAGCTGACCTTGGTGAGATCACAGCTGAATTACTCTGGACAGTTCTGGTCACTGCACTATAGAAAAGATGTAATTGCACTGGAAGGGGTGTTGAGATTCGCCAGAATGTAGCTATGAGAAAAGGCTCAATAAGCTAGAGTTTTCTTTAGAACAGAGAAAGCTGAGCGGAGACCTGATTGAGCTGTATAAGATTATGAGGGGCATGGACAGCGTGGATAGAAAGCAGCTTTTCCCCGAGTTGAAGGCTCAATAACAAGGTATAATTTTCAGGTGAAAGGCAGGAAGTTAGGAGGGGATTTGAGGAAAAACATTTTCACCTCTGGGTGTTGGCACTGCCTGGTAGGGTAGTCAAGGTGGGAAACCTCACAACCTTTTAAAAAGTACTTGGATGGGCACGTGAAATGTCATAACATTCAAGGCTATGGACCAAGTGCTGGATAATGGAACTGTCAGTACAGACTTGATGGGCTGAAAACCTACTTCTGTACTTGGTTTCAGTGATGTTATAATTGAGGTGCTGTGCCTGACTGTGTATTTTGAGCATTTTGTTTTTATCTCAGCCATTGACAATGACTTCTGCAACTTGTGTAGCAGTAGTAGGAATATTGAGGAAAGCATTCCTGCATGCAGATCCTGAATCCCTTATTCAAATTAACTTTTGAAGTTATTGACAAATTTTCCATTAACCGACAGCCACCATAAAAGTGTGACCGCAATGTACAAGCTGATTGTGAGTGGCACTTGAATGTGGTATGTGAGCATACCGTGAAGCTGTCCTAAGTCAGCTAAATATATTAGTTCTTAACAGCTTTGAAATTGGAAAGAGTACTTGCGCGTTTTAGTTTTATCCTAAATCAGTATTATTAAAAACTGGTAACTCTGACCTTTCATGTGAAATTCGGTTTTATTTCAGTTGTAGGAAGAGAGTGGCAAATTTTTTAAAGAATCCTTTGATACCAGTGACACTGTTAAGGTCGTTCTTTATCGGTGATAGAGCACCTGACACTTTGACTGTAACCTAACATACAGCATCACTAAAAAGGGGTTTTAGTTCATTTGTGAACATTACAAGTTGTGAAGTGTCGACTTTCATCCCGAGTTTATGGATTCAAATTGTGCAAGTGCAATCCATACTTGATTCTCTAACTATCAGCTTCAGGGTATGATTTGACAAGTAAAATACTGTGAACTCCATGTTAAATTTCATTCCCTACTTTCAGACTCCTGTGCTTGCGAAGAGGGATGAAACAAAAAAGAGCATTGAAATATTGCAGGTGCATAGATTTGCTTTTGCATGCTTTATTTGAAAGTTAAATATAGATTGACAGTCTGAACATTTGGATTGCCATTAAATTTGATCTAAGAACTTCCAGTAGAAATAAGACAGATGAGTTCTCAAACTTTTGATACACAGCTTTTACAACTTCAGAGAGACGTATACTTTTATTCTTGGTGTTGACAAATCACAATCTGTAACTTGTGAAATAATTCTAATCGTCATTTGTTTGACCATTTCTTGTCCTTGTTTATTGTTACCAGGGTTTTAACTTGTATGTTGATTTCATCGACTTTGTGTTGATAACCAAAATAGATTACAAGGTTAATTATTTTGCTGTTGAATGAGTTTTAATTAAGGCAGTCTAGTGCGGCAGAAGCTTCATCTCTCCATTTACAAAAGGGGCTGAATCATCCTTTTTTTTTGCAATAACTTGACTTTATAAAATTGCACTGTGCTTTGTACTCTTTTTGCTTTCTTTTAAAGATTCTTTTTTTATTAAAAAAAATCCTGGCGTGTGTTTCATAATGTTTACTTTTCAAATCAAAACTACATTTTTTAAATTTCATTTCATCAGATTTAAAACTTATAACAATTATTGTGCATCTTAGGGAATGTTCTGGAGTTGCAGACAAAGTATCTTTGATGAAATGAAGAAGAAGTTATCTCAGGTAGTATTTGAGTTGTATTGAATGGAAAATGAAAGCAGTATGCAAATGATTAGCATGCCGCAATGCAATTTTGGCTGTGACAGGCACGGTCTCGGATTCGTGGTTGCAATGACAATACTAACAAAAACGCTCTATCTTAAATGTATGTATAATTGCTTAAACTTGATTGGAAAAGTAAAGATTGTGCGTTCACTGTCCATTTCTTTAAAAATAATTATTGTGTTGATTAGTGATATCCTTAATCCTATCATATTTAATTTCCTATTCCTGCCTTGCATAGATCCCTGAGGGCTTTCACAATAGTGGTAACTCATTAGCCGTGGCATTATTTTTCTGACTTGCTAGTGCCAAACTGCCTTGTATGATGTCAAATAAAGCTATTAGTATAACTTTTGATGATTTTTACTGTCATAATATAGTTTTGCTCCTTTTGTGTGTGCCTGATGTTGGATTCACAGGAATGCAAATAATAGACAGTGAAAATGTGGATTTTTCAATGGAGAACTTGAACTAGAACACATGCGCATGAGATTAGAAGCGTTCATTCTCAGTTGACACTCACAACTCTTGGTTTCGTGAGAGGCGCATCACGTCCTTTGGTGTCCCTCCACTTAGTCTCTTAAAGGGATCCCAGAACACCATACTCTCCGAATATTTTAAAGGCTGCTTTTGGTGTAATTTCTGATTTTATTTTTACTGCTTCGATGCAGTTTTGCTACTTTTGCATTGTGTTCCTTTTGGGTTCAGCCTTTCAGCTGTAATAGCATGAACTGCTTTGAATCTAGTATAGGAATATTGGCTGTCTGGTGCCAAAGTTGTCTCTTGGCTTGGCATTCTGCCACTGATGCAGTTTCTAAGCTACCATGATTAGCCACTGTTATAAGTAGATCCAATGAACCTTGCATGCTCGATTTGATATGCAGTACCCAGTATTTACCTATATGCCAGGGTAACCTAGGACATGTGCTTCCCTCTGCACCAACTACACACACCTTGCCCCCCTGCTGCTGTCTGTCAGTCTCTCTCTCTGCCTTCCCTCGCCCCACCTCACTGTCTGCCTCCCCTCTCTCTCCCCCTCCCCCCCCCCTGTCTCTCTCTCCCTGTCCCCTCCCCCCCCCCGTCTCTCTCTCTCTCTCTCTCTCTCTCTCTCTCTCTCTCACAATTCCGCCCCCCCCATCTGCATTTCTCCCCCTCGCTCCCTCTATCTCTTCCCCACCCTTGTCCTCTCTGCACCCCCCTCGTCTGCCTTCCCCCCCGTCTACCTGTCGTCTCCGCATCTTTCTTCTCCCCCACCATTTGAAATGCCAAGTTTAGATTGTTGTGTCTTCTAATTAAATTGATAACTGGATAGAAAGCTTGTGGGATTAATTTCTCCCTCCTACTGTGCAGATATTTAAAATTTCTTGGTCAAGTCAATGCTATTCTGTTTATTTCCTGGGTATTTCCTGAACCATTACTTGAATGTGATAGACTCTATTTATAAAGCAGCAATTTGATGTTTCCTTTGAATGTTTATCCAGCTGTTTAAACTGTTGAGACGTGTTTTATTTCTTTGGAACCATGAACTAAAATAGAAGTTGTCTTAAACACCAGAAGTACTTTGCAACTTAAAAACAATCGAGATCCATGTGTTCTTCAGCCGTAGAATACAGTTCTGCTTTTTGAAGCAGAGGGAGAATTTGAAACTTGACAGCACTGCGAATCTTGAGTTAAGAATATTCTGCCAGACCACAGCCATCTGGTTGAGCTGCAGTGAGTTACGAAGCTGTAAGTGCCAAGGGCAGGAGAGAAAACTCAAAAGTCTTCTAACAGAAAGGATCCATTTGCAGCACCCCCCCGCCCCACCAAAAAAAGGACTTCTGATGTTTGGAATTTTATTTATGCTATCTATACTGATTTTTTTTTTCCAACAATAGTGCGTATAAAGTGTTCGGGATTTATGAAAGACTGTAGTTTAAGTTGCATAGTAGCATAATAGAAGTTGATTCTTTCCATTGTTCTTGTTAGTTAGGTGCTATCCTGTACAGAATAAGTGCTTTTACATGGGTAAATGGGGGATCTTCTCTCATACTGTTCCTATTACTGAGTACAGGTTTTAAGTGGACTGTTGTGCAAAAGTGTGGGTTATTCCTTCCTTCCATAAAAGGACAACATTATTTCTAGTTACTCTGCGAAACATTGCAAGAACTGTTATATCGAAAAGACAGCTGTCATGATTCAGAGCAGGTAAGGAGTGGGGAGCCCTTTGGAATGTATTCAAAGTGGTGTTTTGCTTCACACTCCTAAAGTCTAAAGGCATTTTCACAATAGATATTGTGCTACCAAATGCTGCAAATAAAATGTGTTGTTCTAAAAGGGCTTGGAAGATTAGATTTCCCAGCCAAGAAAACAGAATTTGGAGAACTGCCTCAGAATAAGAGGCCAATCGTTTCGAATTCGGTTGATCTGAAATTTCTTCAGAAGGTAAAGAATCTATGGAACTCTCTACTCCAAAGGTTTTTGGATGTTTCATCATTGAATGTTGAGCTGAGACAGTTTTTTGTATTGGAGGGAATCAAGAGGCATGAGGAGAGGGTGGGAAAACCGGATTGGAACAGTAATCAACCATGATTGTATTGAATAGTAGAGCAGACTTGAAGGGCTGTATGATCCATTCCTGCTTCTAGTTCTTATATTCTTATTGTAAATCTTTGATTCTGTTCACTGATTTGTAATGACTGATCTTTGTAAAAAACACAAAATTTCTCCATAGTCAGAGACTGCAGCAGATGAACCACGGGTGCTGTGCATTGTTCAGGACACCACCAATGCCAAGGCAGTTACTCAGCGGCTCACCCTAAATCTTCCTGCATCCACTCCGCTCAAACGGCTGTTCGATGATGTAGCATCTAAAGCGGGTTACGTTACTGGCACCTTTGAATTAGTCTGGACCAATGGTCTGAACAAAGCTGACCAGGTGAGTTTAAAAATTAATCTTGGGCAAGGGAATCAAAAGGGTTTGTCCTTGTTGCATTGATATATAGTGCTGCTAAGTGATTTAGACTGGCAGATTCACATTTCGGAAACCTTGTTTAAAAACTCAAATAGAAACTCACTCATAGACATGTAAGCTGATGGCCAACATTTGCGCACAGCAGCCAATTCAGCGATAGTCATATGTGCCTACCTCACCATTTATATATTTTTCCACAGTAGAGCAATAATTTTGCCATCTACAATTGCCTGGTTAGCTTTGATTTATGGTGCTTCCTAACTCTCCTTCCCTTGAATCAGAGATAGTAGGAACTGCAGATGCTGGAGAATCC